ATTGTTGGCCTGGCTGAATAGGCAAAGTCTTCGGTTCTCCTCTAAAGGGGTTGGGGTTTTGAATCTTCACCAGCAACAATTCATGTACAAACAAAACTGGAAAGCAGCACCAAAAAATTAAGAAGCCATTACTTAACATAAAGTCATATTACACTTCAATCTCTGGAAAAACAACCTTGATAATCTGAGGCCTGAATAGAGAGATGACCCTACAAAGTGTCTCACCATAATTTCCATGGTAACATTCTGAGGAAATAATGAAAAGCCCACCAGCCAAGCAGCCTCCCCCTGAGCATCACAGCCTGAGAGCATGACAGTGGCTGCATGATGTTATTTGGATGTTTCGCAACTAGAGGGCGGTGTTGAGCGATTTACAAATAGAAGTCTTCATGAGGAAAGCAAAACATGTGGAACTATTGAGATGATGTCTCAGGCCTTCAATAAGGAGGTTAAAAGTTACAAATAAATGGATAAATAAATAAAAGATGGACACTAAAATCTGTGTTTAGGAGTGATCGTCATTGTTCCATTGCAAATGCGAGGATGTGACTGTAAAGGTGTGTGAGAGAGGCCACCTATGAATAGGACACAGCATCACCAGTTCAGTTAAGAATCATGAACCTAAAATCCAGCAAAATGTTGTAGGAAGCTTTCAGAATATCCCACCTTAAAAAAAATAAAAATAAAAATCATACATTAAATGATCCAATGCAGAGTTTAAATGCGAATCAACCAAAATCTGTGAATCAGTAAACTGAAGTGAGGAATTAGTGACACAAAAAATAGAAAGCAAATATTGTCATTTTAACCTTTCATCAACTGAAACTGAAACTGAAGTTGGACACATTTAGTCCGATTATAATTCAGTCTGCAAAAAATAAGTGTAGTTTAATTTGACATTTTTTGACATGGGATTAATCTAATTGAAAAATCCATTCTCATCAGCAATAGATACAGCATTTACATTGTGTGTAAATATCTGGTTTAAAATGTAGAGAATTGTCTTTTTAGATGAAGCAGGAAATAACTGACTTTCAGTGGTTTTACTTTCAGCACGCAGCAACATGCACTGTGGTTTTGGGTCAAGCTTTGTTTTACATTTATGCATGCAAACTGTCAGGTTTAACTGCTGAGACCAGCTCTGTATATATGCTAATAGTTTAACTTATTTCCAACAGTCATGTGACATGAAGCACTAAGACCAGCCGGCAACCGACATTTTGGTACATAAGACCCACCCCTTCCTCATTTTTTTTCTGTGGCCCTCTCAGAACTAAAAGGGGAAGTAGACAACATGAGAATGTTAGTTTAGAAGCAGCAGCCGACTTGAAGGCTTTTAACCTTAAGTTGAATAAAATAAATATCAAAAGTAATAACTTCTTGTGTTGAGACCAGATATAAAGTATTTCATAAGCATTGAATTATTTAAAATAAATGATACCATGTTCAGTTATACAAAAACGCGGAAGTATTTATATCTGCAGAGTTTATTGACAAAGCACAAAGCAAAAACTGAAACTGCACCCATTTTATGTTCTAGTTCTTTCGGCTGAAAATAAAAAAGGGAACTTTGCCTTTTTTTGCTTCAGGCACGTTTGAACCGACTGCTACACCTTGTCAGGGGTAACGACAGGTCCAGACCCAAGGAAAAGGGAGGATAATAAACCAAAGTCTGGTCTGATAATGTTGCCATCAGCTGAAATGAAAAATGATTTTAGGCCTATCTGAAAAAAACCAACAAATCAGCACAAGCAACAACCTGCACTAATCAAGCGCTGAAAAAAATATTATTTTCGTTCAATTCAGGCTGAATGGGGGATGGTGACCTCTGAAGGATCTAATATCATCTCTAATATTCCTGAACCAAAAATAGCACACATGATTTTTTTATATATTTCAGTTTTGCAAATTACCATTTTAACTGCACCAACCCACTCCAACGAACCACAAACCATTCAGTCTAGTTTTTTTCATGTGGGTGGGGTGTTACTGTTACTTGTTGACGCGGTCCGAGGTGTGAATACTATGTATCTGAAATGCAGAGCTGTGAACTCCCCACAGTGCATTTGACCGGCAGTATCTTGGCCTTGGGTGTGGGTCTGCGTGCCCTGGCCCTGCATGCGGCCTATGCCTGAAGTCAGCTGGTGGAAACGCTGGGGGGTGACTGGTGCCTGTGCTTGAGTGACTGGCGTT